CACGCAGGGGTAGAGGAGATCATCCCCGAGCTTCCAGAGGAGGCAGCTTATAAAGCCTCCAACTGCATCCTTGAATAAGCAAGCAAGCAGATTACAAGAAGCAGAAGTTAGCCGTTAACGTCTTGTACAAAGATAAATGTATCCAGGGGACTCTCAGATCAAACAGGGCCTAGTAGACAGTTTTATTACTTGCACCTTGGAATGTTGTGCTTCTCCTGGGGGTTGGCGCCTAGAGATACCACCTCCCTGTAACTGGAGAATTTCCACTTTTACACTTAGGTCTGGAAATTCCATGCAGCCTAACCCAGGGAGTTGGTTAAGCCCCAGGAAAAAACTAGCTGACTAATGGTAGAAAAAGCAATTAGGGTTTGCATTGGGAAATTGCTTTCTCCAAGGGCAGCCTGGTTTCAGGTCGTAGGGGTGCCTTAGGGGCCAGAATCAGGGGCACTTGGGGAGAGTCATATCTGGCTACCTCTTAGCCTAAGCCCCCCAATGGCTAGTCTGCATCCTAGATGCCTGTTAATGTGAGTTAGGTAGCAGCCCCTGTGAGTCTCTCAAGGTTTCCTGTCAAAGGAGATATATAAGATGTAGCTAATTCATTTTCTGTCCTGAAAAGCTTTAACATTTTTTACTCTTAAGATTTTGAGGTTACTTACTTTGTTCACCTGTGCTGTTTTGTACAGTTATAACTTGGTTATTCTCTTTGAGAACAGTGACCACGTTGTCTACTTCAAAGTAACCTATGCAGCTCCTATCACCTAGTAGGGTCCCAGTTTCTTCTTTTGCTTGTCTTTTTACTGAAGCAGCTAGAACTATACTTACAGGCACACTGGCCTGTAAGCGCTTTACATATATAGCTTTTATTTACTCTTCACTGCCATCCTCTGAATTGGGCTCCATTCATGTATTCAGCTGACAAACATTTGTTACAACTGTGATTGTCTTGTGGCGTTTGTGGTTAAGTAAACCAGGCAGTTAAACAGATACAGTGATAAGAATAAAGTAACCCAGGTGATCAGGGCACCTTCCTAGGAAAAATGTCATCTTTGCCATGACCCGAGGGTTGACCAGGTGGTAGCCAGACTGAAGGCGGCCCTGTGCCATGGAGGTGAAGTAGGAGCCGGGGCCTCGGAGTCAGGTAGACTTGGTTTAAGTCTCAGATTTGCCACCCTCTAGACCACTTTTTTTTTTAAAGTACCCTCTAGATAAATCACTTAACCTTTCTCACCTCTTTCTTCACCTATAAAATTGTAGGGAATTGGCAGAAGTAAAAGAGATAATGCACCTAAGATGGCAGGATCATAACACGAGCTTAAATGTCAGCTATTATGAATATTAATATTCGTACTTGAAAAATCATATGTGTAAGATTTGTTCCTTTTATTGCATGCAAATTGTACCTTAGGGTACTGTTAGAATGGAGAAAGTCGTTATGGCTTGAGCACAGTGTCAACTTAGAAGGAAAAATGAACAAAGTTAGCAAATCAAATTCATCAATGTGTAAAAAGGATAGTAATAGTGTTATGCCGGTAAACTGGCTCTCCACGTTGAGTTCGGGAAGCCATCTTCACTGATTTCCATGGTGTAAAAACTCCCACTGTGGCCAAGCTACCAACGTGAAGTCTCTGAACATGGGAATAGATTTATAGGATCAGCTCTCATGAGCTGGTATGATCCAACTTCAGCACCAGTACATAACTTTCCCAAGAATGCAAGATTAGTTCAGCATTTGAAAATCAGTGAATATCCTTCACCATAATTACAAAGAAAAAAAGGCAAAACACCATGGACCAAATAATGTACTTTGTCCTACACTTAGCAAAATAAAGCCACCCAAACTGATGCGCTGACGGTACAGTTCACTTCAGGCTCCACTGTGCTCTGTATTACCTTGTGTCTCCTTTTTGATTCATTGCTCTGATCCTTGCTGTTTCTCTACAAACACCTAGATTACACTCTCTTCTGGTGGCTACTGCTTACTGAGGCAACATTTTTGAATTGATACAAATAACTCATTGAGAGGAAGAAGAGATACTCCCAGCTTATACAAAAAATATATTGAGGTATATAAATTTATATAATTGGCTCACAAATTTCATACACACCTCTCAAGACAAAGAAATGTATTTGTTTTTCCTTTCATAACATATTCAGGGTACTCTTTGTGACAAGTTTTTCATAGTTTTTCTAGTGTAGTCATGAGATGGAGAAATGAAGACCTAATTCTTCTCTATTGGTTTGGGTCAAGGACGCTGTCCTGGTTTTAATCTTTGTATCAACTGCAGACACATTACTTGGTCCATGGAGAGAGTCAATGCATGTTTTGATAAGTGAATAAAAGAGAATTCTGAGGATTCCTCATTTGCACAGTCTCTCTAGATGTCAGTGCGAGATCAAATACTCAAGGTGGAAATGGCTATTCCTTGAAAAGAATGACATCCCCAATGCCAGTGTAGTGATCTTTAGTGTTTCTCTGCTCATTACAAAGGCATTTATAAAATGAGGGGGATAGGAAGATATCAATTAAAATTTCCCAAGTACCTTTTTTTTAAAAAGAGATCTGGGCCACCCATGTCATCTGAAAAAGTTCTGTGGGGCAGGCAGAGTGTTAATGTGTACTGATTATAGCTATAAGATTAGCTTTAGCACAATTTGATGGTATGTCAGGCTTTTGTGTGCTGTTAATACACTTCAGTATGTTTGCTCTTTTTAAAAATCAATGTATAAGTACATTTATGTTGATGTTGATGGGGGTGGTACCTGGAACATAGTTTTACTCATTTAAATTACTTGCATATCTTTGAATTTTGGCATATTGTTGTTCATATCCGTGATTTATTTAATGCCTAATCTTCAATGATCTGCCTTACGGTATGATTCCAGTGAGATAGAAGTGGAGTGGTAGGTGTTCTCTGGGTCCTGGAATGGTAATGTGATTTAATGTGGCCTGTGAAATTTCAAAGATTGTAAGCAGGCTGAGAAGAGGGCGTGTTTGGCTGCTTAAGGCCAGGCTAGGCGGGATTACTAGCCTCCCGTCTATTTTACATGAACAGTTTTGAGTTTTCTGATTTGCTTGTCAGTTTAAAAAAGGAAAAGAACGTTTTATTTAGGGTAGTGGACATTGTCATTCTCCCCCAATTCCGGTTTTTAGTTATCAAAAACATACCAAATTATTCCTCAGCACTGATGTTATCCCTCCGGCTAAGCACTTGTTTTAGCAACCTCTAGTCATGAATAAATTGACACTTGAGTCATAGTCAAGTTTAGTTTCAGTGTCCCAAATACCAGTGGTCGTCATTTTCATATTGAATCCAATGTGTGTTTAATCTAATTTTACTAATGGAAGTTTTTCTTCATCAGGGATGGATGAATGAAATTTACAGCTATGATCCAGAAACCTACCATGCGACTTTGACACATTCAGTCTTCGTTCGACTTGAGGGTGGGACATTAAGACTTTCAAAGCCCAATAAAAATATATCCAGGAGGGCAAGCTACAATGAAACAAAGCCAGAGGTCACCTACATCAGCCAGAAAATCTACGACCTCTCAGACAGCAAGGTGAGCCCAGCTGATTTTGGAAACTTAGATGAATCAAAAGCATTTGGAATCTTGGTTGTATTACTATATTCTTCCCCTAAAAAGTGTGTGTGTGTGTGTGTTTAAAGTATTAGTATGATTTAGATCAATACCTCTCAAAGGTTAATGTGCCTATGAATCTCTTGAGTATCTTTTTAAATGCGGGTTCTAATTCAGCAGTTCTCAGTTGGGGCCTGAGAATCTGCATTTTTATGAGATCTCAGGTGATACCTGTGCTGCTGGCGAGTGAACCACACTTTGAGAAGCAAGGGCACAGCAGTCTCCTGACTTGGAGAGTTAATTTTTTTTCAGTCAAACAAAAAGCATGTGTGGTAGTGCTAGGGTAATACCTAGTGAAGTCTCCATAAATGTAAAACTTATGGACATGCGAATAACTACATTTCGATAAAGATATTATATACTTCTGTTTTTGAGAAATGTAAAGTATTTGTTACTCAAAAAAGCTATGGAGTTTCTGTTCTTATAACTCATGTGAGTGATCTTTAAGTTTGTCCAAAATGACAGAAATATTTAAAATAGCTTTTGTAAAAATTTATTCTTAACTTGAGATTAATAAACTTGAGCTTATCATCTAGATCTAGTTTGATAGATTCTTTTATTCTTTCAGCTTAATGTTTGGCCAGGGTCATTAAAACTCAGTTGATATTCAAACTTAGTTGATGATAATCCACCACACAATTATTGTGCCATTGTTACCAAAAATTACAGATATTTTATAACTCTCACAAAATTCTTAAATATCTATTTTCTGGGATAATTTTGAAGAATAACAAGTCATTTCTAAAAATTTATTCTAGTTTCTATCATCATGTTATAGACAGGTGGTAATTACTTCACATTCATCATTTCAGTCAAAAATATTATCAAGTTTGCATTTGTGCTCTGCATATTTTAATGCACAATGTAGCCAATTCTTAATTTAGTATGTAAATCATCATTTCCCTTCCTCTGTAGATTTATCTTGTACCTAAAAGTTTGGCTCGAAAACGAATCTGGAATAAAAAGTACCCCATTTGTATCGAGCTTGGTCGACAAGATGACTTTATGTCCAAGGCCCAGACCGATAAAGAGACTTCTGAAGAAAAGCTGCCAGCTGAGAGAGAGGTAGGAGGCGAGGACCCTAAGAAGCCACCCCCTCAGGAAGGGACAAGATCTGGCCAGCGAGATCAGATATTGTATCTCTTTGGGAGAACCGGCCGAGAAAAAGAGGAGTGGTTTAGGAGATTTATTCTGGCATCTAAGCTGAAGTCGGAAGTCAAGAAGCCACCTGGCGTCTCTGGCAGTAAACCAGGTAATGACACATGTGCTAAATGCTTATGTATTTTTAAAGAGCCTGTAGGAGAATTGAGATTCCCAGGTAGGAAGGAAGGAGGCCCACTCTAAATCGATGACTGTCTGTCCGCCACCTAAGGTGTGTCCTCATGAATAATTTACCTTTTAGGCTGATCACTGCAACCTTTTATATACAATCATTTAACCAAGGATGGAACCATTGGCAGATGTATGTTTTTTGCCTTTCCTGGTTCCTTGGGATTATATTTATTTTTCCATATCGTGACTCTGAGAGAATACACAGCAGCAGAACCCTAGTTATAATAAGAAGGTGGCTAGTGCTCTAAAGCTCCTGGCCCTCATGTCCTCCATGCCTGAGCTCGCTGAGTGCGGGATCCTCTGGCCTCCAGACTCACTGTGTTTGTGTCTGTAACCATGCACGTCTGCTCTTCTTATCCCTCTGCCCCGTGTTCTCTGCTTAGAACTTCACTCAATCTCTCACTGTTCAAAGATACTGTGCCCTGGTCATTGGTTTTTACACATGCTGTTCCCTCTACCTGGAAAGTTCTTTCCCTCCTGGGCTAGGAAAATGCCAACTATTTCTTTAAGGGGCAGTCCAGAAGTCACTACCCATGAAAGTTAGTACTGGAGTAAGCGCCTCTCAGCTCTCTTGGGCAGAGGTAGTCACCCTCTTCTTTCTGCCCTGAAAGTCCTTCAGTTGTACTTTAGCTACGATGCTTTTTACAGAAAATTGTAATTTATTTGCCTAGGTGCCTGAGTTTAAGGGCAAAGATTATGTCTTCTTCTTCTTTTTTAGTGTGGAATTGGCCCAGAGAAGTGCTTGATAAAAAATTTGTTGAATGGAAGATGGCATGTTTGAAATTGCCATGAGCTGCGGATGAACAATTAGCTTTCTGCCCACTTGCTATTTGCCCTTGGGGGTGTGTCGTTAAACCAGGGATGGAACCATTTGCAGATTTTTTTTTTTTTAATTTGTTTTTTATTTGACCCTAAAGGATCACCAGAAAAAAAGAAAAAGATACCACCAGTCTATCTATGGCTCCCATTACTCTGAATTGTCTTAGAGAGGAATAAAAACTTCTAAAAATTAGAGTGGAGGTGTATTTCAGGCTGGGAAATAAACTGTTAAATATTCTTTAAACAGTCATTTGATAGCATTTTAGCTGCTTTTCAGCTTAACCCAGTGGAGTTTGTTGTGCATTTCATTCACTTCGCAGTCTTTTTCTTCATCTGTGTTAATAGCCATCACTTCTTTGCTCCAGGGGTTTTGCCCTCACACAGCAGACACAGCAGTCCCTCGGGGCACCTGACCCACAGTCGCAGCAGCAGCAAAGGCAGCACGGAGGAGATCATGTCCCAGTCAAAGCAGAAGGAGCTGGTGGGCAGCGTGCGGCAGAAGATGCTTTTGGACTACAGCGTGTACATGGCCAGGTGTGTCCCCCAAGAGAACCGAAGCCCCCAAAGGAGCCCCGTGCAGAGTGCAGAGAGCAGCCCCACAGCTGGGAAAAAGGTAACTGGCTGCTGGGCCATGGCTTTTCTGCTCTTTCACTTAAATTCCTTTCTTAATACATAAGCACTTTGAGTGCCTCTTGTGTACCCTCCTAGACTGCAGACTCCGCAGTATTTTCTCTCGGTTGTCAGTTGGCTAGTGTGGGCATGTGTCCTGCTGGCTGGCTTTTCCTTGAGCACTTATGCCCATGTCTCACCCACGCCCCCACCCTTGTTAATTTAGTGATTTTAATCTGCATAGGCTAGGAAACCAGAGAGCCAGAGTTGTGTGAACAGAGATAACTGTCTTTGAAAGAGGGGCCTTTGAAGAAAGCATGTGAGGTTTAGTGCTGGGCTCCCGCATCCACTTGGCCTGCCTGAAGCGTGTTTGTGGGCCACATCTTGGCTCTCAGGAGTGGTCTGGTAGTTGAGACAGTCTCGAATAAGATATAGGTGTCTGTTTTCATTATTTATTACTGTGTAACAAACAGCCCCCAAAGTGGCTTAAAACAATAATTACTTATTTTGCTCACGAATTTGTAATTTGACCAGGTTTAGCAATGAAGGCTTCTCTCTGCTCCATACAGTGTCAGCTGGGGAAGTTGGACTGGGGGCTGGAGGATCTGTTTCCAAGATGGTTCACTGGCATGCATGGCTGGCAAGTAGATGGTAATCGTTGGCTGGGAGCTTAGCGAGGGCTGAGGGCTGGGGATCTCAGTTCTTCTCCATGTGGTCTGAGCATCCTTCAGCATGGTGACTGGGTTCCAAGGCAAGCGTCCCTTGAGAAAGAGCTGATGGACACTGTATTGCCTTTTATGACCTAGTCTCTGAGGTAAAATACTGTCATTCCTTCATGCTCCATCTCTTGCTGAGTGAATAGCAAATTCTTAGAAGAACATGTAGGATGTGAAATATCTTTGCACCGTTTTTTAAAAATAAGATCTGCTTCAGTGTTCCTATGCCTCTTTTATTATTTTTCTTGCTTTCCTTAATAAGCCAGCGGAGATAGTTCTTTACTAGTTTTATTTCTTATTAATTCTGCAATATGAGCAAGTAAGGACCTTTTCCCCCAATCCTTGATTTTATTTCCTTCTTTGTGCATGTGAAACATTAACACAGTTCCAGAAATCAAAGCTGTACAAAGATGAACTCAGAAAAGTGCCCTCTCCCTGACCTATTCCTTGTATTCCTCCATGCCATTCCCACTCACCCCCTGTAGTAAACCAATCTCCTTAGTCTCTGGTTGATCTTCTCCTGGTTTATTTCCCTTTCTATGGCTTCTCATTTCCCATACTATGGCTTCTCTTTAGCATATTGCTTCTTTCACTTAGCAGTACATTCTGGAAATCATTCCACATCAGTTCTTAGGTATCTTCCCCGCTTCTTATTTTTAAACAGCTGCGAAATACTTACTCTATTGTGCAAATGTTCCATAAAGTATTCAGTCTATCTCTTATATGGGCATCTAGGTATTTCCAATATTTTGCAGTTATAAACAACGCTATGATGAATAACTTTGTGTATGTGTATTTTTATGTTGTTGGGGGTGTATCTTCAGGGTAACATCTTAGAAGTGGGATTGCTAGATCAGACGGTAAATGCTCATGGAGTTTTGTTAGATATTGCCAAACTCCTCTTCGTAAGGGTTGCACCATTCATTGTTCATTCCCACCAGTGGTAAGAGTGCCTGTTTGCCCACAGTCTTGCCAAATGTAGACCTTTTGGATGTGGTCATTAGTGCTCATTCCTCTTGCCAAAGACCAGGCCACGTTTTTCTTAGGGTCCGTATTGCCTCTGATATCATGAGTCTAAGAGAGACTCAAGGGCTGAGACATAAAGGAACCTTTGACAGTTCAAGTTATACTGTCACTTCGTCTGTGTTGGCTACCACCCAGAAGCTTATCCAGGGTAGCATGCCCAGAGGGAGCTTGAGACACAGCTCCAGGCTTTGCCCCAGCCTCTCCCCTCCCACCCGCTCCGGCTGCTGCCTTTTATAGGCCATGGTCTGAGCATCTTTTACCCTGAGGGCTCCAGGTCTGATGGCAGCCTCCACACACTTGGCCTTCTTTCTCACACATTGCCCCATGCTAAACTTGGTCAATAGGTGAATGGGGCCACTGTTATTCAGTGTGAAAAACACCCAGTGGTATAAGTAGTAAATATGGACTAGATTTGTGTTAAACAGTGCTAACATGCTTTTGGTGGTTATTCTTGCTGATAATTAAAACATGTCCAGGGAATACTGCATATTGAAATCACTTTAAAGTTCAAATTTTCAATTATAAAATAGCACTATTTTTGGAGGAAGGGCCTGGTTCTCCAGATCAGGGTCCCCAACCCCCAGGCCATGAACCAGTACCAGTCCATGGCCTGTTAGGAACCAGGCCGCACAGCAGGAAGTGAGTGGTGGGCAAGACAAACTTCATCTGTATTTGCAACCACTCCCCAGTGCTAGCATCACCGCTTCAGCTCCACCTCAGATCACAAGGCATTAGATGCTCATAGGAGCACCGGTCCCTGGTGCCAAAAGGGTTGGGGACCGCTGCTCTAGATGTTTAGTGGTTAGTGACTAGTCACTGAGCCCTGACTTATTTTTGTAACTCTGCTTCGTCCCACTACAGGCTGTGCCAGCTTCTACAGTCTCCAAACCCCTGTGATCTTGGCACCATTTTCTCTTTTCTCAGGCAACTTAAGCTCTAGAATAGTGAGAGAGACCCTGATGAGGCTGTCTGGGGAGACCTGCGGCTTTATCGTCTTGTCGAGGTAGTTTGCTTCATGTCAGGAGGAGATTTAAATAGTAATTCAGAAAACAAGAAAATAAGAAAACTTCTTAAAAATGTCTAACAGAGGGATACCATTAGCCCTAGTGTGGGTACCACAGGAAGGGATATCCCATAGGTTGCCTTCAGATTTGCTCAGGGGTGTGTGGCCAGAGAGGCTGCTAGCTGTGTGTGCCCTGAAGCGGGCTGTCTGGGAGAGCCGCCGGATGAGGCAGTGGTGTGCCTGTGCTCCAGGCGCAAGGCTCCAGGGCTCAGATCATGATAGGTACTTCCATGCTCCTTTTTAACGAAAGATTTTAAGAAATGTTTAGAGATAATGTAGACTGCCCCCTGTTTGGAGGATCTTGTCTTCATTGTTACAAGTTGCACTAATTATCTTGTTACCTATAAATGGATCAGGAGATGAGAATGGAAAGTAAATAGGAATCAAATAGAAACCAGGAAACCTTAATTGGCAGAGTAGTTTTCTAAGGCTTCCCCTTTCCCCCTCAATGTCAACTTTTCGATCAAATAAGAGTAGAATTGAAAAGTGCTTATCATATCATAAGTAAAAAATATGAAGGAAGGTACAATTTAAAAATAAATTTTAGAAGGGATATAGACAAGAGTGCCACGACAATTTAGTGGAGGAAAGAATAGTTTTTTCAACAAATGGTGCTGAAACAACTGGTGTCCATATGCCTCACACCATATACAAAAATAAACTCAAAATGAATCAGAGACCTCAATAGAAGAGCTAACACTATAAAACTCATAGAAAAAAAAGATAGGAGTAAATCTCTATAATTTTGGATTAGGTAAAGCCTTTTTAGGTAAGACACCAAAAAATGCACACAACCAAAGAAAAAATAGATAAATTGGACCTTATCGAAATTAAAAACTTTTGTGCTGCAAATAATACCATCAAGAAAGTGAAAAACAACCCATAGAATGAGAGAAAATATTTACAAATCATATATCTGATGAGGATCCAGTACCAAGAATATATAAAGGACTCTTACAACTCAATAATAAAAAGGTAAATAACCCAATTAAGAGATGGACAAAAAATTTGAATAGACACTTCTCCAGAGAAGATGCACAAATGGCCAGTAAGCGTGTGAAAAGATACTCAAAGTCATTAGCCATCAGGGAAATGTGAATCAAAGCCATGGTGAGATACCACTTCACAACCGCTTGGATGGCTAAAATGAAAAAGAGAGATAGCAAGTATTATTGAGGATACGGAAAAACTGGAACTCTTGTACATTGGTGGTGGGAATGTAAAATTATGCAACTGCTGTGGAAAATAGCAGTTCCTCAAAATATTAAACAGAGAGTTACACGATCCAGCAGTTCCACTGCCAGATAAGAGAAACGAAAACCTGTATCCACACAAAAACTTGTACACCAGTGTTCAGAGCAGTATTATTCACAGGAGCCAAAAGTGGGAAACAGCTGAAGTGTCCATCAACTGATGAATGGATAATGTGTGGTATACGCCTACAATAGAATAGTATTCTGTGGTTAATAAGGATGACGTACTGCTACATGCTATGGCATGGAAAAACCTAGAAAACATGCTTGGTGAAAGAAGTCAGTCACAAAAGAACACATATTATATGATTCCATTCATATGAAATGTCCAAAACAGGGTTTCTTTGGGGGGTAATGAAAATATTCTAAAATTGATCGTGGTGATGGTTTTACAGCTCTGTGAATATACTAAAAACCACGGGTTATACTCTTTCAGTGGGTGAATTGTATGGCACGTGAATTATATCTCAACAGAGCTGTAAATAAAAAAGAAATAAAACCATGTTAGAGCCAAATTTTTTTTTAAATTTTATTTGTTTGTTTATCATGACATTGGTTGATGAAATCCAGTAAGTTTCAGGTGTACAATTCAGCAGTAAGGCATACATATATTGCATTGTGTGTTCACCACCCATAGTTAGATTTTTCTGTCACCACATATTTGACCCCCTTTACCCCATCTACCTCCCCCCTACCCCCCTACCCACCCCCTCTGGTAACCTCTAGTCTATTGTTCTATGTCCGTGAGTCTCTGTTTGTCCAGTTTGTTTGTTGCTTTTAGGTTTATATCCCACATGTAAGTGATATCATGTGGTTTTCAACTTTTTCTGTCTGGCTTATCTTACTTAGCATGATTATCTCGAGGTCCATCCATGTCGTCGCAAATGGCAGTATTTCATCTCTTCTTATGGCTGAGTAATATTCCATTGTATATATGTACCAGAGGTTCTTTATCTATTCCAATTTTGTTTTTTTTTTTAAAGTTCATCATTCTTTAAAAGCGTGTGTGTTTGTGTGTATGTATAAAATAAAAGGAAAGGAAATATAGTAAAAATGTTTTCAGTAATTACATCTGGATAGTGGAATTATGGAGGTTTTCTACAATGAATATGCATTGTTTTTATAATCACAGAAATAGGTAACAGACTTGAAGGAAGGGTCTTTAGTTATGTCTTTTCCTGGACCGAGCAGCCCTTTGTGAAACCCTCAAGTGGCACCAGATTGTGTGTGACCAAAACTTAGGAGCAGAGGCACTAATTCTCTTTGTAACAAAAATGCCGGGTGAGTCTCCTGGCCATTTGTAATAAGAAATATTAAGTAAATCTCTACAAATTTACATTGGATGTTAATTTTTAATAAAATATATCCCAAGAGCTCCTCAGTTAGTTGTGATAGCCTTCTTCACCTTAAAACAATTGACCTTTCCAAACCTTTTGGAAGCCGCTTTTACAAAATGGCCATTTCTAAGTGTACGTATATAGCTGAAGTGTTGCCATGGGTATCCTTCTCACATTCCTTCCTGCAGCCAAACAGCAGTGTTAGGGAATGTGTGCACGTTTATTCTTTAAGCGTGAATTTTTATGACATTCATGGGAAGTGAGTTCTTTCTAGCAGCCTGTCGAATCCAGATTTTATTCATAAAGCTGCTTTGATGCATTCTCAGTGTTCTGTTGCTCTTGGATTTTTCTTTGTTTGCAGTGAGGCCATGGAGAGAAGCCTGTCTTAGAAAAAGGAACTGTTGAAAAGGAAAAAAGAAAAACCTGCTTGTCCGTTTTTCGGAAATTTGTTTCCACATCATATGCTTTGGCTTGGACATAAATTGTGAAATAGCCTTTGTTTCTTGCTATGTTTTGTTAAACCTGTTTCCTGTGAGTGACTAGGGTTGTAAAGAAAGGTTAATAAAGGGTAGACTCTCCCACTTGAGAAGGGAAAGCGGTGCCCTGTGTGGGCAGCAGACAGGCCCTGCCTGAATGCCCAGGGGAGGAGAATGGCCTTGGGTGAGTGCTCACTCAGAAGCCTATGTAGATAATCTAATGTGACTCAAAGACAGTCACTTCAGAACAGCTAGACCACACCCCCTGGGAAGTGGCGTACAGATGTCCAGGCGGAGAGAAAGTGATTCCATACAAGTGCAGCTGTGGCGTGACTGAGTGCCTGCTGGTCACACTCCCGCTCTTCTGACCGGGACCCCGTGGTGAAGTGTCTCAGTTAACAGCAGGCACCACAGCCTAGAAAAGCATAGAGAGAATACACTCCAACCATCAGAATGAGTGAGGCAGATCCATGTCTTCCGAAATGGAACAATAAACGTGTGCTATTTTTTAAACCAGAATTTAATTTGGGGCCCAGATCCAATGGCACCAACATTCATAAGGGAGACCTTTGAAAACACCCAAATATCTCCCCTTATATGCAGTAACATTAGATGGAAAAATGCAAGTGAGTCCCCAGGCCCCCAAAGAGAGAGATGGCGCAAGCTCTGACAGGACTAGTGGACAGGTAGGTGCTGGGCAGCCCACTAGGCCCTCTGTGGACCCAATGACTAGTTCACATGGGTCAGATCCTTAGAATTCCAGGCTTCAGAAAAGTCACACACGAGTACATGCTGTAGACCTTTGGGGTGCTCACAACTCATCGCATCTCCAAGTGTCAAATCCATGAGCATCACGCCCCCTTTGTACTATGCATGGAGATGAGGAGGGTGTCTGGTGTGTGTGATGGCTACAGGCAGCCCATGAGGGCAGGATGAATGCATTTATATAAGCCATAGAGAAAAGAGAAAGAGCAAACAATTCACAGATTTCTGCATTTCTAGTTCTTTTGGTCTTTGCTTTCTAGGCTAATTGTTTCTGTAAGGCTGTAATCTAATTAGAGACCTCCGCAGAGGGAAATGCATCACACCAGGAGCCAGTCACAGTCCCTCTTCCCTCCCACGGGACAGAGCAGGTGGCTGTCCAGGGGAAGGAGCGTGAGCGGGGCTGTGCTGATGAACGGGGGCCTCCGTTTTCTCATCCCTAAAATAGAAGTAGAAATTCTGTGGTTCCGGGCTATTGTGAGGCATATAAATGGGAACTTGAGCACGGGCCTGGCACGGGGTCAGTGGGCAGCAACAGCGACGACAGCGATGGCCGCCAGGCATTATCTGCATTAACCTCCTAACCTCAAGACCTCTTCTGTGGGTGTCGCTGCTGCCTCTCCCTCCTTCACCCTCACTTGGCCCTCTGCAGGCCAGAGTCTGTAGTCTAATTACAGCCTTGGAAACTGGAGACTAACCCAGGTTTGCTCTTCTCTTACCTTGCACATTGGCCATGACACACATTTCAGATGGGTCGCACCACATGGAGGTGAGGCCCAGGGTATTTCACCAGGCCGAGAGTGGTGGGAACAGCTATAGGAGTTTCAGAGAATTCCTGAGGGTGGCTCCCTCTAATCCAGAACTGGGGTTCCCACCTGACCTGTTCATTACATCAGTGAGAGCTTCTAAAAATCTTGATACCCACTTAAATTAGTAGCACTGGGTATAGGACCTAGGCGCCAATATTTTAAGCATTCTCTAGTCCCTCGCCGAAGAGAATCATGAGTTATAAAATCAGGCTGAATGTGAGAGTCCTGGGCATTGGGAAACTGGGGGGCTGCCTGGTGAGGACCAACCTGACAGTTACTCATCCAAGGAGCCTCATCTAGAACCAAGCTAATTGGGGGTCGGGGGCAGGGCAATTTGGGTGAGCTAATCGTATGAAATATTAGCTGGTTCACAGGAAGACTGGTAGAAAAAAAATAGACAAGGAGGAGTTTTTATCTGTGATGGTGGCTTTTCTTTCTCTCTTTTTCTCTTCACTGACATAGTGTGGGACTTATAATTTATAGGGAAGAAATACGACGCATGTGGTCGCCTATCTATAGGGAAATACTTTCAGTGACTTTAGGAAAATAAGCACCTGCCTTGTTCTCCAGTTGCTTTTTAGCTAATTTTGGTCCCTTATTTTTTGCCAGTTGCCAGAGGCTCCACCCTCTGAGGAGGAAGAACAGGAAGCCTGGGTGAATGCCTTGCTTGGAAGAATGTTCTGGGACTTCTTAGGAGAGAAGTACTGGTCTGATCTGGTGTCTAAGAAGATCCAAATGAAACTCAGCAAAATAAAGGTATCATTTTCCACATAAGAGGCTTTTAATTCTTCACATTATTCAATTTCTAGAAGTTTTGTACCATTTTATCCTCAGTGAAAAAATAACTCAGTTTAAAGCATGTAGCATATGAAAGTAGTAAGTTGTTGTCAAACATCATTTGGGCTGTGACCTTGACCATATGAATAACTACATCTGGGAACTTAGTGACCATTCCTGTTTGCTTATTCCCTTGTGTTGCCTTCACTGTTATCCATTGTAGATGATAATCCAGAATTCGATTTGGGAAAGTGCGAGCTTTTGTAACTGGCTTGTCGTATAGACTTCTGTTATCTTTAAATTAGTATTTCTGGAACCCACCCAGCCTCACAATCTAAGCTACCAGTATATGCTGAGGAAAATGCCAGCTTACTTAAGACCGCTTTCCCAAGTTATGCTCCCTTTCCAAGCTGGGAAAGTTAGCACTGCACTCTAAATGTGTCTGTGTTTGACCTTTACTTCTGGCCAGATGGTATGTTATTTTGGGCTCTCTCTTTGCTGAAAAACAGTCCTCACACTGATTTAGGCCCACTTGGACGTGAGCTTAAACTGCCGAAGTAGTCCTCACGATTGTCACTGAACGACTCATTTAGTACCACCTTTGCCAACCAAAAGACCTTATTTAGGTTATTTAGAAGTTTTTAACCCAGTGACGACCCAGCCAAGGAAGAGTCACTTTGGTCCCCAAATCTTCACTGAGAGGTTGCACAGTCAGCAGCTTAAGTCAGTGGGTCTGTTGGGGTTATAGATACCTTTGGGAAGGAGAAACAGATGGATCCTTTCCCTAGAAAAATGCACAATGACACAGAATTTGCCCACGACTTCAGAGAGTTCAAGGACCCTGTTAGGAAACTGTAAGCTAAGGTAAAATTGAAGTAGGAAGAAAATGTGGGCATGCAAGGGCTTTGATTTGATTTCTGTTGTTCCTTTGCGTGATGAACGGAGCCTTTTCTGGCTCTGGCAAGCTCTGGCAAGCTCTGGCAAGCTCTGGCTCCCTTCCCCAGCCCCTGATGAAGAGAAGAGGCTGCCTCCTAAGCTGGAAGAGTGGATTACGAGGCAGAATCCAGGGCAGGGGTTTGGGAGGGCTTTGTTGACAAGGGTCAGTCTATTTGTGTTCTTCAGGTAGGTTGAGGGGTGAACCCACCCTGCTAGCCAGGTCCAGAGGGAGAACAGGAAGTGTCAGTGACCCTCACATAGGCCAGCAGCCGACCTGGAGCTGACTCAGCCTTCTTGGATTTTGAGTTCCTGGGTCACATGGCCAGGGCTGACACTCTTCTTTCCCCAAAGACTGTCGTGGGCTCTTCTCTGAGCAGGAAGTCTGTGAGTCCTGGCAGCATGTGACAGAAAGCAGGGCCTGTGAGAGAGGGCAGTGTCCCACGGTTCTCTCTGGGTTGGAAGTCCATGGGGCCTCTCTCCTCGGTGGAGAAGGGCGAGTTCCCTCATCTCAGAGGAAGTTGAAGGAAAGTTCTATTTTCATCTCCTTCTGCTTGTCATGTGGGCTGTTGCAGTTCACAAACCTAAACGCCCTTCTGTTTTTGAGGTCAGAAGTGATAGAAGGTTAGGACGGAGAAAGAGGCCCAGATCCAATGGCACCAGCAGTACTCCCGGCATTGCCAGCCTCAGCGCCTCCACCCTGACCTGAGCTGCAACGCACAACGCGCCCTGCAGACTAGCGAGAGCCCTGGCAATGGAATAAACAGGAAGGCAGCCAGATATTACCCAAATCTGAGCCTGCCACCACCCCTGCCAAAGGAACCCTTCTTACCACCAACCACCAAATATCCCTGGAAGAGCTAGCTATTCCTTAAACCTAGTGTATGGAGTGTTAGCAGCCAGTCAAGGGCCAGAAAGGCTGGAGGAGCCTGAGCTGTCCCCTGTGACAAAGATCTCCCTGACTCTTGGTGTCCCTTGAAGGCCTGACATACAGAGAAGTCTTTGCTGGCCTTGCCCTGCAGTCTCAGATTGTCACCCTTGCGCATGACAATGACTCATGTTGTGAAAGAGCAGCCTGTGTTATGTACCTGGCAAGTGATGGGTGTAAAACATGCTGAGTTTCTGCCCCGACAGCAAGTATACTCTTGGCCTCTGCTGGCTGAGTCAGTATGGCCCTGGGCTCTCAGTAGCTAGGGGCCTCTTGTGTCTGTTTCAGCAACTGCTGCTGTTACTGCATCCGGCTTCTCATGTCCCACCCACCAGCCTGAGAATGTCCCGTACACCTGCATGTCCAGTCCCCAGCTGGGTTTACCCCGGAGGGTAAAGAACACGCGGTGGGTTCCCGTCTCAATCTGGTGCTCTTCAGGTGGGCAGGAGAGAGGTTCTGGTTAAAAGAGCAGGAGGACGAGCGACCTTTCCTTCCTCCCCTGCAGCGTGAGAAGGAGGCTGCTCCAGGGCCTGGTCCTGGACACTTTGATTCAGATCAGAGATCTGAACAAGAAGAGGGTGGAGGTGGGCGAGAGATGTTCTGTAATCTTGGAGTTGGGTGCTCAGGTGAATAAGCAGGTAAACAGACCTGCAGATCCCCCTGCCCCATTCTGCTTACTGGTAAAGAGCCCACCGCACCCTGCCGAGGCTTTCTCAGTCCTAGTTCCTCCAGTCCCCTCCTTCATCTTGGGTCCTTGTGGGGCCGCAAGGTGCAGGATGGAATGGGGTGGGGGATTGGACTGGGCCCGAGGGGGAACAGCATGTTTCTGCCGGCTCTGTATTCACTCTCCTAGCTCAGTGTTGGACCCCTGTTCCCGTAGAAACCCATCATACTCCTGACACACAGGGTATTAGAATGACAATAATAGACAAAAAAGGACTGGTGCGGGATGCAAGGTTTTGTCCATATTCCTGGCCAAGTAGCGTTCTGTAGGCTGATTGGGAAGCCAACCACCGCATGATACTGATGCTTTGGAAAAAGATTTTCCAAACACAGCAAACATCAGTTCAGAAATGTGCATTCGAATACTGTCTCTAGTCACATTTTGTCCATTGCAGACATCATGACCTTTCCAAGTTAACCCCCCTACCCCTAAAAAATCAGAGATGAAGTTCTCTGACTGGAAAATCCAAAAGTGTAGATATAAATTTCTCTGCAGGGAGACAGCTGAAGAGGCCCAGTCAAAATAGGCATTAGATTCATGCCTGGCTAGATGCTGCCTTGTTTTATGGGAAATTCTCAGCATATATTTACTTAATTTTGAATTTCACAAAATTACTCTAATGTTCAAATGGAGAAATACTCGTGAGAAAAAATTCTGGAGGAGAAGAAAGGAGAGGGACTTGCCAGATTTTAAAATGTATTATAAAGCTGCAGTAATAAAAGCAGTATGACACTGGTAGAAAACAGTGCTCAGTACAGATTGCAGTGTAGTGGGAATCTCAGATTTAAAGGTGTAATTACAGATTAGTGGAAAAGTATGGATTCTTCAATAAATAGATTAAAACACCTTACGAATTACTAGGGGAAAAAATTAAGATGGGTCCATAATTTACATCTTACACTAAGATTAGGAACGGACCAAAGATTTTTTTTTTTTTGAAACACACATACGCAAATCCAGGTAGAAGAAACATAGATGAATTAATTCTGTAGTCTTGAGTCAAAGTAGAAATTTCTAAACCTGCTGCCAGTACTTTCATGTTATTTCCTTTAGGGTAAATTCCAATTACAGCTATATTAGTCGGGGTCCCATTCAAATGGAGTAACCTGAGGAGAGAGTTTAATAAAGAGGAGATTTATAAAGATACGGATTGATGTAGAGAAATTAAAAGAGATGATGCAGCACCCAGGGCCGACAGCAGTGGGCGCTGTTACCACTTCCTGCGGGAGCAAAAGCAGGGGTCCGTTACCAGAACTGAGCCGCATGGAGAGGGCTGCCCGTCTGACAGGAGCTGTAGCCTTCAATAGAGGGAGGGGACAAATGCCCCACAATCGTCTTCTACCTGTACCTCCCTGTCCCCTGCCCCCTGCCCATAGGTGTATCCTGTTGGCCAAGTCCAACCAGAAGCCAGAGGGCAAGCGACCAGCCCTCGCGGTATAGGGAGGGGTTTGAATTCAGGGGGCAAAAGAAAAATGTCCAGTCTAGGGTCAAGGGATGTGATTTTTTTTTTCCCAAAGATTTTAATAAGTTTTGTGAGTTTGCCTGTCAGAAATGTAGCAATTTTTTAACTCCCCATTGGTAGCCTAAGAGAGGGCATTATTAACCTGTCCCACATGGCTGGCTGCTTCTCCACGATCAGGTCTCTGGCCAAATGCCACTCCTCAGAGAAGCCTTCACTGACCTCCTTAGCCAAATAGCCATCCCGCACCCATGCCCCAGACTCCCTCTGTCTTGTTACCTGCCTTATTTTCTCTGTAGCACTAATCACTCTGTGAAGTTACATTACTTATTTGTCTACTTATTTATCTGTTTCTGCCTCTCCAGTATAAACTCATGAGAGCAAGGACCTTGCCTGACTTGTCCACACTTTCCGTTTGTAGTACAATGCCTAGTATGTGGTATGTGCTCGATAAATTTTGGTTAAATAAATGTGTCCCAAAACCTCGACCATCATTCTTTCTGAGAGTATGTTGAATTCTAACATTTACCAGGTTACTAACGTCTCGTTCATTGTTTGCTTCTTTTCTCCAGCTCCCCTACTTTATGAATGAGTTAACTCTGACGGAACTTGACATGGGGGTGGCTGTGCCAAAAATTCTTCAGGCCTTCAAGCCTTATGTCGATCACCAAGGTAACTCTTAGTTAACTCCAGAGGGCAACTGACCTTTTATATGAGTGTGAATATGTAAAGATTTATATGTGTTTCGTGGCTCATGGTATTAAAAGGACCTTGATGGAGGTTTCAGTACCCAGGAGTTTGGTGAAGTGAGGAGTGAGCCAGGCAGGCAGATAGAGTCCACAGCAGGCATGGCAGCAGCTGACGTTTTTCTCTGTGGTATCCCTTTCCAAGTAAGCCTCTTTCCGCCTAATCTGGATTTGCATTAATTCCTCAAAAGACTCTGGGACTCTGGGAGAGGTAGAGGAGAAAATAATTACAACTTTTCAAGAGAGTGATATTTGTTTTGAAAAATTTAGAGTCTCTAGCATCTTCTTGAGTCTGTGTATGGCTGTATCAGATGGCTCAAATCATATTTAGTGAAGTACTTTTCTGTATTGTATATATTTGACATAAATAAAAGGGATTTTTTTTTCTAGCAATATTATTAGTTGCCCTCTCTCTCTAGCAATATTTCAGCTCACAGCCCATATTTGAGCATCCCATCGATTTCAGAGACATATAGACCAGAGTATTATTTGCAGATCCAGAAGTCAACCTTATACCTGCATGTTAAGATCACCTATAACCACTGAATTATGTCTACACATTGATGAATCAGAATGCCTCCTGGGTTCGATTGATTTCTGATTCAGCAAAACTAGAAAAAGTTCTTTGCATATGATTTAGCTAAAATTCTCTTAACTGCATGTGAAATTTTAAGAGATGCATGATCTATGTGTCAAGTGTCTAGCTAGACTCTTAACCCCATTGTGGGCATACAAGGGCTGCCTGTCTTCCTCTGGCCCTTCCGGGCTCTGGGTTGCCCTTTGCTCTTTGCCTCTTTTGGAAATGACTTGTAAATGATCAGCTAACATCGTATAAATGAGCCGTAAATGATCACCTAACATAAACCTCCAGAGAGGAATGTCGAGCATACAGAAAATAAATAATATGTGTACATACTCTTATTTTCTAATGCATTAGCAGTCTCTTATCTCAGGACCGAGTTCATTCGTCCTTTGTTGAATTAGTAGAAATATCCAACGAGGAGGGAGAGGTGCCACAGCTGGGCTTTGCCCCACTTAAGAAGTGTCCCTGTGGCTTTGAACTCTGCAGCCTCCCAGGGCAGCTTTGTCAGGCTCTGAATGAAATTCACCAACTGTCTAGGTCTCTAGTCTCTTTCCCGCCCCTCTGAAGAGAGACATTTCACTAGCTAGATCAAAGCTTTCCCAGTTTTTTAATCCATTTGAGGCTTATTTAACTCTTTTTCTGGGCAAGTTTTGGAGCTCTGCCTGCTTATGCAACAAATGAGGAAATGTTACTAAAGAAAGGAATGATAAAGACTTAAAGGCTGTGAGCTTTAGAAGTTTGATCAAATTAGGTTTTTCCAGGTTTGCATGTGATGGTAAAACAGAAATGAACATGAAAGAAATGCACATTTTGACTTCCATTGCTCTAGGGAAAACTTTCATTTTAGGGAAATTAAAATCAGGTGACTTGCTTGAACTGACTCTGGAAAGCAGAGCTCACCTTTCAGGAAAATGCAACCCACAGTGAAGAGGCTTCAGCAGCTCTGGGAGAGGTGCTTCCTGTGGGATTGCCCACCACCTACGCCCCCACCCCTGTCCTCTGTTAATGTTTCCTGACTTGTACTTGTTTGTTGGAGGCTCATGGCTCAGGAGGGCTGTTCAGGCCAGAGCTGGTTGGATCACTGTCCCCCGGATGCTTTTCTTGAGGCAACATAGAGTGGTGGTTCTGAGCGCCAGCTCTGGGTCCTCAGGCAAGTTCCTTAAACTTTCTCGCTAACTTCTTTCTCAAGTTGGGAGACTAGTAGCACCTACTGGTGGGCTTCTCGTGAGGATTGTGATTTAATATGCGAAAGGCACTTGCAAGGCCGCTGGTGTGAGGCAGGCACTGCATCGGTGCTAGCTATTGTTATTTTTACCATTATTAGTGACACCTTCAGCTGCTGGGACTCTTGGAGAGTTTAGAATGTGGGTGGCCGTGGTGTCCCTTTGACCCATCTTAAAGCTGGCAGATCCTACCAGAATAAACAGAAAGAAAAATGCCATTGTTAGCTTTCGTGGTCTTGCCACTAAGAGGTTAAATTAAAGGAGCAAAGTCTGTAGTTCCTCTGAATGAAATCACATATTGGGCATGTTGGCCTCTCCAAGTTCCAGAACACACAGCCAACTTCTAGTGTAGTGAGTAAGGTTAAATGACCACCTTCCCCAGGGCATCGTCACTTCCCACCAATGGCAGGTGGCTAGAAGGTGGAGATCTGCCCATTGGGAACCAGCTTTGCACCTCCCGCCTTATCTCTGCTCCCCACTCCACGTTCATCTCTAACCCTGGGGTATGTGTAGGGATAGGGGTCTCCTTTCTTCCCTTCAGGCCACACAGTGGGGTCCAGATGCCTTCCTCAGACTAGCTTCCCCGTCCCACCCCGTAACCCCACGCTGGGCCAA